GATTCTTTCTCATCTTTGATGTTTCTCTCGCTCCCTCTCCCTTCCTTTCTGAAATCAACAAAAATATATTTTTTTAAAATAAAATAAAATGACACTGCAAGACAATAAATAAAGTTCTAATTCAGAAGTTAAGACCGAATAAGTCTGTCAGAAAATGCTAAGAACCAGATGATTTCCCTCATATTGTGGGATATAAAACTGAAATTCGAGGATACAGACAGCAGTGTGGTAGTTACCAGAAGGAAAGGATTGGAGGAGAAATAGGGACAAAGGGGACCTGCCATATGAGGGAAAATGGTTTGACTTTGGGTGGTGGGCACACAGTACATACAGATCTTGCATCATAGAAATGTATACTCGAAATCTATATGATCCTATTAGCCAATGCCACCCCAATAAAATTAATTTTTTTTTTAAGTTAAGACTATATATAATACAAAAGAGGATAGAATTGGTGGGGGCTAAAACGTGTGTGCACTACAAAGAAAGATACAATTGACTGGAGCTAAAATAGAGCAGAACAAAAATTTCTGGAAAGAGACAAAACTTGAGCACTCAGACATGAAAGAAGAGTAAAATTTAGCAGGGATATATGAAAAGAAAGGACATCCACAGCTAGAATAAACATAAAAAAGAACATACAGACCAGCAGCCTGCACAGAAGCATAAAAAAGTGATAGGAAGAGTGGGTTGGAGCAAGATTGAAACGAACCATGAACATCATATCAGGAATTTACTCTTAACCATTTAACAAATTTTAACTGAAGTAACTATTATGTGCCATGAACTTTGCTAAATGCAAAGGATACAAGTGTGAACAAACAGATAAGTTCTCTGCCCTCAAAGTGGTTAAAGTCTAGTAGATATATTCTATTAAAAAAAATATGGTACCATGCTATGCTTCTGAGCAGAGGACGATGTGTTGAGAGATAGATTCTGGGAAAATTATGTAGCAGTAATATTGTGAAGATTAATAAAAAGAAAGTTTGTTTAAATTGGAGTTCAGAGGGCCTGTGGGGCTCTACCCTATACACTCTACCACTTGTCATCAACTATCCCAAACAGGAAGCGACATACTTCCCATTTCAACAGGAAGATGTTTTTCTGCTCTACTACCCCAAAAGGAAGAAGGACAATCTTCTCTTCACCCAGCAACCATTCAGCCAAAGAAAAGCCACTAACCTTCAAATACCCGGTTTCCTCCAATGGACTACTTGTTTATAGCAGCTCCTGAACTCCTCTTTTCTCTATAAAGAATGTTTGCTATTTGCAATTAAACAGCATATTGTTCCAGAATAAAAACCATATATGTCTGTTTAAGGTCAATACTATGTCCTTATTGGGGGATTTAGGGGAAGAAGGAGATAAATAGGCCAAAAAATATAATATGCTAATTAAACCAGATATCCTTCCAGAGGACCTTCCGGACCAAGCCGGGACTGTGGGTCCAAGCCCCTTGCACAAATTTCATGCAGTGGGCCTCTAGTTGTAATAATAATCCAGGAGAGAAGTAGCAATGGATAATACTCAATTATGCAATTGCTTCTTGAAAAATCTTAGATAAATCACTGCATTTCTCTGCATCCCTCTTCTCATTTGAGAATTTAAATTTGCCATCAGCAACAAACTTCAATTGGAAAATTTTACAAACACATCTAGGCGCTGTGTACCATATGTAAAGTAAATCTAAATACTAAGAGCAGCAACTTACTTTCATTTTTTTTAGCAACAACTTTGGAATTATGCTTGTGCTTTATCAGTTTAACCACTGTATCTCTAAACAAGCACTCTCTGAATAAGAATGGACAGCAAGGTTAGACATAATAAAGAGTTAAATTAGAACTTATGAAGATCTATGCTACCTGCCTTTATTTCTCTGGGTGTAATCTACAGTCCCAAGAAAGGACAGAGAACTGGATACCAAGCTACTTACATCTGTTGGAAACAGAAAAAGAACAGTAGATAAGATACTTATTTCATTCTCCATTATGTAACAGAAAGCTATTTGTCTCCTAAACTTAACTTATTTATAGAGCCTTTAGGGCAAAGACTATGTTTTATTCATCTTTATGATCTAACAGTGCCTAGTACAGAGTTTTGTACACAATTGCTGAGAGTGGTGTTAAAAAGAAAAGGAGAGAGTCTGAGGTCCAAAGAATGAGTTAACCAGGTATAGGAGGGTCCAGACAGTAACAATATCCATCAACAAAACAGCCAATAGGGACATAAAAGTGAGTAAGATGATTTTCCTTTTTGAGGAGCTTGAAGCCTTGGGGGGGGGGGGGGGGGATTAGAAGAGAGAGAAAATACACCAAGCATCTGGTATTTAACTACTAAAATTAATCATTAATGGCTACCTTTTACTGAATGTGTCAAACATTGTGCAAAGAACATTATAGATATTATCTCATTTAATCCTCACACCCCATGAGTCAGATATTATTATCCCTATTTTTCAAATGGGAAACTAAGAGTTGAAGCAAGGATAAATAACTTACTCAAGGTAATAAAATTAGCAGAGAGGCTGTGGTTCAAACCAACATCTAATTCCAAAGTCAGCCCACCAGGAACCAGGATTACAGCACTGACAGAGTAGGAAGTAATCAAGTATATATTATATATAGAAATGGAGCCAATTAGATTTGCTGAAAGATGAAGAGCAGTGTTTAAATTAAAGAGGTATTATAACATCTATACACGGGTGACTAAATGGATGCGATCCAATGCATCAAATGTAACTCTCCTTTTAGCCCCTATTTCCTTCTCCAGATGCAACCAATGGAGTTTCTTTATGAGCTTCCAGAACCAACTCACGCATATGAAAGCACCCAAACTCACTCTCCCATTTTTTTTTATTTTTTTAAATAATTTGAGACTCAACAAATGCTAAGAACCAAATGATTTCACTCATATTGTGGGATATAAGAGCAGAGAGTTCCTATATGCCCTTTATCCAGCTTCTCTTAAATGTTAACATCTCACATAGCTATAGTACAATTATCAAAACCAATTCATTAAGATTGAGGCAAAACTAGAAATGACATTTTGCAAATTTCAAGCAATTACAAAATAGAGCTGCCATAAATATTCTTGCACATGTCTATTGATGCTTCTGTATGGCAGGGGTCCCCAAGATAATTCTCTGGCTCAAAGATTCACCATGGAAGGGCCCAAAGGGCTCATAAAAGCTGTACACTCATGTGTATGGCTTATTATAGCAGATGGACACACACTGAAATGGTGGAGAAAAGAATAAACGAAGTCCAGGAAAAATCGGGCACAACCTTCCAGGCTCATCCCCCAGTGGAGTTGCAAGGACGTACTTAATTCTCCCAGCAATGATGTGTGACAACACAAGTGAAGTGATGTCAACCAGGAAAGCTTGCCCAAGCCCTGGTGTCCATGGTTTTTATTGGGATGGGGGCATTCAGAAGGCACACAGGGCCTGCATCACTGACCTCAGCTATTTGGATTCCAGTCCCCAGAGTAACATAGGTGCTCACCATAAATCACATGTTTTGCATAAACTATCTAATACAGCTGGTTCTATGTGGTCCAGGGCCTCAGGCACACAAAAACACACTTATTAGGCAGAATATCCCAGTGGCTGAGTTCATCTCCCAGGAGCCAGTAGTGGACAGTCTTGAAAACATGCTGGTTTCAGCACCCCAAGCTAGCTGAGCTAGTCCTTTCCTATAAAACCTGTGAAAGCATTTCTGGACTACTTTGTTCATTTTAATATTGACACAATATTCTGTTATATGGATGTACCACCACTAACTTATCCAATCACCTACTCATTAACTTTTAAGTTATTTCTACCTTTTTGCTCTAGTCAACAAAAAAGCAGTTTTATAAATAATAAAGAGCTACAAAAAATAAAGATATAATTTTTCTAGAAGTATTATCACTGAAAGATGAATTAAAGGTTTAGTCTACTGTGTGACTTTCAGTTACCTGAATAAATAAAGGGTAGCTTTAAAAATAATCTGAGTTTAAATGTAAGTGAATAAATAAAATGCACTGAAGAAAAAAATTTGAAGGATTTTTCTTACCTCCTATAGTGTTTGCTGTACGTAATGAATATGAAAATTATCACAATAAACCAAAAATTACACAATTTCTGGAAAATCATACAATAGCATTACACAACAGCAAAATGTAACTCTAGAGTTTTGAAGGGTCATTTACATATATCTAGAGTCTAGGATTCCTATTTTACAATCAGAGAAAGTTCATTAGACTTTCATAGAAATGCAAGCCCTGAATTTTTGCTTGTGATAAGAACAAAAGTCAAAAGTTGAAACATACATTCTTTTCCCCCTATCTCACAAGTCATAAGCATAAACACCCTTGGTACAAATTCTTTATGTTAAAACGATCCAAGATTTTAATTTTCCAAACACAAATCTAAAAATAATAAAATCATAACTAATGTTATCTCAATTTAAGAAATTTCTTATCTTCTGTGGAGATAATGCCTGGCTAATACTGAAAAGCCTGATAATCCTAAATGTTGGTGAGGCTGAAGAAGCAGGACTCTCCCACATACTGGTAACGGGAATATAACTCAGCAAATACTTGCATCTTGTAGCTCACCTACTGCAAACTCTTGCAACATATTCTCATCTTCAGATTTCCTCATCACAACTCCCACCACTGAAAGTCATGCCAACAGCAATGGCTGATCACTTTGTAACTTTCGTAAGTATCTAATCACTATGTTGTACACTTGAAACTAGTATAATATGTATGTCAATAAATAAATAAATCTGTACTGGGCTCAAACTATAAAAAGGATGAAATAATCTCAATAGAAGAATAAATTTAATAAGATGGTGACATTTACTCTAGCTATTACACTATGCTACCTTTAAAAAGTCCTTTGTTTTACATTTCCTTCTAATTATATTGTAGTAATTGATATTATGTCAGTGAACTTTAATAATAATAATAATAATAAAAGAATGATAAAGAAAAAAAGAGAAATAAAAACTTACTGGGATTGAAAATTCCTCAGCCAGATATTTCAAAGAGGCTGCTTCTCTTGCCAAGAACTTGTTCCTTTCTCTCATGTTGTCCTGAAGTTGTGTATCAAACTCCTTTCTGACCACAGAAGCAATGGAGTCAATAATCACAAGTTTAACTCCTTTCGAAATAATTTCTTCTTCTAAGGATTCAATCCTGTAAAAGGAGAATTTGAAAAATAGTAGAAAATGTTAAGACATACTTTTAAAAAGTAGGGCACTGCAAAGGTTAGCCAACTTAAAAACAAATTGTTCTTTCCTAAGTTATAGTGATGATCGCAAGTATTCAATAAACATAACTTATTTTCGTATATCTCTTCCATACATATGGCTTGCTTTTGGAAATAAACCAAAATGGTTTCATTCCTTAGCCTTTGATAATGCTAAAGCTCCAATCTTACTTGTGGTAACCAGTCTCCAAAATAGCCCAGAATTCATATCCTACAGAGTCTCTCCCACCTATACTAGGGTTGGTATGTCAAAATGATGGTTTGGCATTTCTGAGAATAGGTTATAAAAGACTAGAGCTTTCACCTTGGATTCTCTCTCACCTATCTGCTCTCTCAGATCACTCACTCTGGGGGAGGCTAGTTGCTGTGTTGTAGACAGCCTTATGGAGAGGCCCATGGGGTGAGGAACAAAGGCCTCTAGCTAACACCAAGGAAGGAAGGAAGGCCTTCCAGCATCTACATGTGTGACCTTGGAATTCTTCAAGGTTCTCCAATGCCAAGTGAGCCTTAAGCTGCTAAACTTTGGGATAATTTGTTAATGAAACAATACATAATTAATACACCACTTATGTATTTAAATATAAAACATTTTATTGTTTTTTCATTAAAAATACTTTAATTAATAGGCCATAGTGAATAAAGAATATGGAAATAATTTTATTGCTCATAAACCTAATATGTAGAGATTTTTTTCACTCAGAAACTAAAAACAAAAATCTTCAAAGTATTACTAAAATACTGAATTTGAAACCAGCATACCTTTGTTGAACTTCATCACAGCTGAGTTCCCGATAAAGATGAATTTTACTGCTTGTCAAAAGTAATTTTTCTTCAGTATCAAAATATCTGGGAAAGCGAGATTCTGCTATCTCAATCAGTCTATGGGGGGAAAACAGAATAAGTGAAACTAATCAATGATATTTAAGGCCACGTTGCTGAACCTCTAATGAATTTTACTTAGGGAACTCATAAGCCTCAAGGAACACTGGGAGGAAAGCCTCATCAATAAAGCAGGTACAAGTCTGAAATATAAGCCCTCCTTTATAAGCACTAAGAGCACTTAGCAGATGGAGCATGAGACCAGCAGGGGCTTTTAATTTGCATCTAATACCTCTCAGGTTTATCTTTCTGGGAATAAATATGTTTTTTAATAAATGATATTCTGACCAGTAGCTATAACATATGCTTCATAAATAAGAAAAATGCATTTTCATGAATGAAATATATTTGAACAACTATATTATCATTCAAATATCAATAGGTCTCCATGTCACAGATCTAAAAGATATGTTTTGTTCATTAAAACTTAATACATATAAAATAAATGTGCCCTGGCCAGTTTGGCTCAATGGCTGGAGCATGGATGGGCCTGTGAACCAAAAGTTCGCAGACTCAATTTCCAGTCAAGGGCATGTACCTCCATTCAGGTTCGATCCCTGGGCCCAGTTGGGGCTCATGCTGGAGACAACCAATCAATGTGTCTCTCTCATATCAATATTTCTCTCTTTCTCTTTGTCTCTCTCTCACCTCCTGCCCTTTCACTCTCTCCAATATTAATTGGAAAAAATTATCTTCAAGTGAGGATTACAAAAACAAACGAACAAACAAACAAAAAATGTTATCCAATAAGTCCTTGGTAGACAGAAAATTACTTTCTTCACGAATAAATGTTATAAATAAAAAATGATATTCTAAACACTGAATACTGACCTCAAAGCTAGTTCTAATGCATGGGGCAGGCCAAGCATAGGAGACTGACAATTAAAAAGATGCAACTACCATCATTAATAGTACAAGACATGGAGAGCAGCACCAGAAATTTCTGATTAAAAATGTAAAACTTAGAGTATAACTGTCTCCTTTTTAGAATGATACTTTATCAGCCCCATACTGCACTATCATCCAAGGTAACCCGGGAAGAAGGCCTGAAAACACAAAAATGAACCTATATTTTATGTTCCTTTTAAAGACACAAAGTACAAGAGGACAGTTTTTTTTTTTTTCTTATTAGACAGTTAATGAGTTCCAAGAAGAGGCCGAGAACTTTAAATAGATAAACAAAATAAGTTCCTCACATATGCTATAATCAGAAATGAAAGAGAAAAATCTAAGACAGGAAGAAAGAAACATTAAAGAAATCTAGTCAATAACATTTTAAAGCATATTTTGAACAATTTGAAAAGAAAAAAAAACCATTAGGTTCAACAAGGAAGAAGAAAAATAATTTTAGGAGTAAGGAATAGTACTAAAAGATGTATTGAGTGAGAACAAAATGGATTAAATGACTATTCAAGAGAAGTTCCTAAGAAATGGATAGGAATTGGGAAATTAAAAAAAAAAATAAGGTAAGTGGTAAAAGCAAGAAGAAATAAGAGGGCATTAGAAAAGGTAGAACAGGTATGTCTTGAGGGTTTAGGAAATGTGTAAATATTTTTATTAGGACAATTATTTATTGAATTTAGTGCTAGTCAGAGAAATCAGCTATAAAGCTCTGGTACTTGGAACCCACTGAATTTTAACAGAATAGAAATGACAACATCCATCTGAAACATAGAAGTTTTTCAAAATTCGGATGCCCAGCTGATTGGGAACCAGACTGACAGTACCTAACTCATTGGCAACAAGTGAACAGCTGAAAGACAGTAATTCTCTGCCTCCAACACTAGACTGGATTTCAACTAATGGCTTAAGTGGTAAAAGGCTCTGGAACTCATTATTGCTCCTTCATGCCATTAATGTCCCTCAGAAGGAAGGTAGCCATGGCATGGACATGAGCTAACTTTATTCATAATTATCCTCTCTTCTTTCCCTGATGCTTTGGTGGAGAGTGGGGTTAAGGGGAATATCACTAACACCATGAAATATAGAACCCACAGTTCTTGCTAATGATAAAATTTCCTTCTGGACATTAAATTTATTGGGTATTACATTACTGGGCAATGGGGGTATTTTCTTTCTTTCCATCCTAAAAAAAAATGCACAATTTATCTAGTTTAGTAGGAAATAAACTAAAAGAGCCATACTGACTTTAATAACCACTGGAGATGGCAGGAGGGAAATAAAATCATACCGGGTTTTTGCCAGAAGGTTTAAGTGGGATGGTGGTTGTGCCTTTAAGGTAAAGCTTAATGAGATTAGACTAACTTAGGGTCAATAAACCTGAAAAACTTAGGAACTGTGCACAGAGATAAAAATAATAACCATAGTTACCAGACTAAACAATTGTATCAAATGGTTATTTGCATACCAGTAGGCTGTGATTTTCTTTAAGTTTCTCTAAGTGATTTTTTTAATTTTAGAAAGGATTTCCAAAAAATATATAAATCAAAACCCAAATATAAATGCAATATTCTATAAGCCTACGTTAATCAGAGCAATCTCTCATAACAAACTTCATAACAAAGATCTGCTTTGTATGGAGCAAGCAACAGAAAAGAACCCATATTTTGCTCCATACATTAATTACATTAAGTTTGAAACAATGCCATCTAATGGACTTCTTTCAAAGAATGCACTTAAGATTCATTCATTCAGCCCTAGCTGGTTTGGCTCAGTAGATAGAGAATCAGCCTCCAGACTGAAGGGTCCTAGGTTCGATTCCAGCCAAGGGCACATGCGTGGGTTGTGGGCTCAATCCCCAGTAGAGGGCATGCAGGAGGCAGTGATCAATGATTCTCTCTCATCATTGATGTTTCTATCTCTCTATCCCTCTCCCTTCCTCTCTAAAATCAATATATTTTTTTAAAAGATTCATTCATTCAACAAATATTTATTGAGGACTTACTATATGCCAGGCACTGTTCTAGTGCTAAGGATATGGCAATGAACAAAAACAAAACAAAAAATCCTTCCCTCATGGAACTTACATTCTACTGAGAGAAACAAAGAAATATAGTATAAAATACATCAGATAATAAATGCTCTACAGAAAACTGTACCAGTTTTAAGAGGACAGGCTGTGACAGATGGAAGAAAGCAAGTGACATTTTATGTAAAGTGGTCTGGGAAAACATCTTTAATAAGGTGACATTTGAGCAAAGGCTTAAGGGAGACAAAAATAAAAAATGAACCACGTGGCGACCAGTGGAACAGTGCATAGGAAGAGAGAATGATAAGTGCAAAAGCCCAGTGTAAGAAGATGTCTGGAGCATTTGAAAATAACAAGGAGGCTAACGTAGCTAAAACACAGAAAGCAAGAGAGAGGAATAAGAAGAAATAAGGTCAGAGGGCTAGCCAGGGAGCAAAACACACAAGATCTTTGGGTCTGTGGGTTTTGTTTGGATTTTATTTAGTGAAAGCCTAGGAGCAGGACAGACATAGCCTGACTTCTTTTCTTTTAAAAGAGGCACTCTAAATACCAAATGAAGGAGAGGCTGTAGATGGGCCGGGATGCAAGTAAGATCAGCAAGTGCAGTCATCCAGATGGGGTCTTCAACTAGAGACTAGCTTATGTGATTAGAAGTAACTGAAGCCAAGATCTAGTTCAAGAGAGAAGCTGAGTGGATTTCTGGACTAACTGGTCAGCATCTGGAAGAATGGAATTAACCACTTACTGAAGTGGAGAACAATGGATTCCAATCAAGGTTTTTGTTATTAGCTCCGTTACTTCACGGCTCTTGTATAAATGGAAAGTTAAAAGCTTTAGCCCTAGCCAGTTTGGCTCAGTGGATAGAGCATTGGCCTGCAGGCTAAAGGGTCCCACACTCAATTCCCGTCAAGGGGGCACACACCTGTTACAGGCTCCTCCCTAGCCCAGGCCCTGGTCGGGGTACAAACCAATAGATGTGTTTCTCTCACATTGATATTTCTCTCTATCTTTCCCTTTTTCTTCCACTCTTTCTAAAAATCAATGAAAAAATATCCTCGGGTGAGGATTAAAAAAATAATAAAAATAATTTTTAAAGTTTCATATTAGTTACCACATGCCAACTTGAAATAAAACATATTCTTAATGTTTAAAAAAAAAAAGTCCTTTTATTGTGCTAAAATACAAGTTCATGGTTTTTCAAAGCTTCTTGTACATATGTAATATTTTCCTGTTCATTAATTTAATATGTACTTGCTCAGCATTGTGAGATTACTAAACATAATCATGTGAATCTATTAGTACCATGATTCCAACAGATTCCAAAGTTCTGTTTTAGTAATAATAAGGACAAAGGACATAAAACTAATTACCATCTTCTATCCTAGAAACTCTTCAAGATCTCCCTTCCTACTAATTCACCTAGATTCACAATTGATAAGGCAGCTGAAGTTGGACTAGGGAGAACCTAGCCAGACTCACGAAACCATCTTAAAAAAAATGGTAAGGTAATTTATCTCCCCTATTTACCTCTGATTCAAAGATTCTGAATTTGTACCAACTAGCAAATAAGTGACTAAGACCACACTAGTACTGCCTTCAAAATCAGCCAAATGGCTGGCCACTACCCATCTATGCCTTACTCTAGATACACTGAATCAGAAAGAGTGACACTTTACATAGTCTGGCAGGAATTAAAGGGGACTGGCTTGCCCAGCCCATGTGGCTTAGTGGTTGAGCATCATCAGCCTATGAACCAGAAGGTCTCAGTTCGATTCCTGGTCAGGGCACATGCTGGGGTTATGGGCTCAATCCCCTGTGGGGGATGGGCAGGAGGCAGCCAATCAATAATTCTCTCTCATTGGTGTTTCTATCTCTCCCTCTCCATTCCTCTCTGAAATCAATGAAGATATATTGTTAAATAATTAAATAATAAAGGCACTGGCTTTGGGGTACCTGAAACCCTCAGAAGTGACATACATACTAAGTACAGCAACTCCTTCAGACCTAAGTATAGCCATGGCTTCCACACAGTACCAATACAACACATACCTCTCCTGTGTATATTGTTATGACTTATAATTTTACATTTTGTGATTATTTGATTGGCTTCTTCCCCTTTTGGACTACATCTTCTTCCTAGTTTTCAAAGCTTTTCTGATTTCATGACAACTCAAGAATGTCTACTTCTACTTCATAATATTCCGATTCTATATCCTACCTCCCCATGTTCCCTTCCAGTGTCCTGGTTCCCATCTCTTCCTTTCCCATTTCCCTTATTGTTCCTCACATGTCTATCTGTAGTACTAAGACTCAGCTTTTAAAAATATGTTTCTTAAATTGATTTTAGAGAGAGGAAGGGAGGGGGAGAGAGAGAGAGAAAAGCTATGGGCTGCATCTTTACTGATGTTCAAGCCCGCAACTCAGACCGGAATCCACACAGACCTGGCTAAAATATACCGTGAAACCTCATTTCTCAAACGTCTCCCATCTTGAACTATTCGTTCTCAACCAAATTGTCTACCAAAACTTCTCGGTTGTCAACCAAAACTTCAGTTTTCAACCTGACAACGCTTTCATGCTGATACTTCAGGAACAAAACAAATTGCTGACAACCCTATGGTAAATACAAAGAATAGATATCCAAGAGATATAAACAAAGCAAATAAACTCAAATCAAAATAATCCATTCAGAACATATCTGGTCAGGAAATATGCTTTGATTTAAATAGTTTTCCTTGAGAGCATAAGGAAGAGATCTGATTCACAATAACATAGTGAGAGAAAGACTCACTATACCTATAATGTAACTTGACCAAGAGAACAGAATAGAATCAATCTCCAGATGTACAAGCACTCCTGCTTATGACTATCAACTAGAGCACGGAAAGATGAGGACCAGACTTATTTTCAGGTGTGTAGAAATACACACATGACTAAATGCCTCTCTCATGGAATGTTTGCGGTCCTTTCCAAACTAAGTAAATATTTTCTTTCCAAACAGATACCCTTACTATCAGTGTGTTTCTTACAGTGATTGCCATACTATTTCAAAGGCTAACGTGAAATACTTAGCAATCAAAAAGATGTTTTGAAATTTGCAATTTTTCCATTCACTAATATTTTACTTCCAACTAGAAATTAGTTACAAAACAGCTTACCTCTGTCTTTCGTATTAATTTTCCCTCTTCCCCATTTTCCACGTACATTTCTCTCTCTTCCTGAACGTCTTTCCTCCTGACTTTCTACAAAACACACCTTATCCCAGAATCCCACTTAAACCAATAAAGGGATAGAAAAGGTAAAAGGAAACTGCTCCACAATTCCCTTAAAACAGTCTCTCAATTCTATGTTCTCAAAAAAAAAGAAAGAAGAAAGAAAATGTCAACTTGTTTGAAAATGTTATATGCTAATATATGTTACAAAACTGAGTATTATAATGGAAAACGATAAAATCTCCTACCTTTCAGCACTAAATGCTGATTCTGTGTCAATGTACACAACAGCTCCTTCTAATCCTCCCATGTTGATGGGTAACGTGGCCAAAACACTCATCATTATACAAAATTGAGTTTTCCCACAACCTGGTGGACCTGTAATCTAAAAAAAAACAAAAAAACAAACAAACAAAAAAAAACCACAATCTGTAATCACAAGCAAACTCCTTTAAGAACTTCCCACAAACATAGTACAACTAATCTGGGTTTACAGAGAAGTCCACTGTATATAATGAATCAATTTTCCCCCAATGCATCTGGATTGGTTCTCCTATAGTTTGAGTCTTGACTCTGAATTCTTTCTTAGCCAGAACTCAAATACCAAGATCTGGTCTGACTCTACGGGTCCAACACCTGGTGCTGTCTTGCTGCCAACAGCTGCTTAGGTCTTTTCACTCTCATAAAAGCATTAATACTTTCAGTGGAGGAATGATAATAATGAAAATAAATGAAATTATATTATCTATAATAAAAGTGTAGTATGCTAATTAGACTGGACATCCTTCCAGACAACCTTTCGGACAAAGCCAGGGCTGTGAGGGAAGCCCTGGTCTCAAATGCCTGCCAGTGGTTGAAGGGAAGCTTGGGTCTCGGATGCCAGAGGGAAGACAGTGCAAGCAGCTGGGGGAAGGAAGGCCTACTCTGCACAATTTCATGCATCAAACCTCTAGTTTTTTAAATACTGACTTAAATATTTTATAATTCAGTTATTAAAATGTCAGGACCTACATTCTGCTTATTTCAGTACTTAACTGTAATGGATGTGTAGTAAGGAAGGGCTTGATTGCAAATATGCAAGGACTGAAATTAAAGTAGTATGTCATTTCTTTACTTACTAAGTCAGTATTTTCATTTTTCAGTAAATTCCATCAGTTAGTTCTTGTTGAATTTGGCTAATAAATGTCTGTCTTCCCTCCTATCAATGTTCTTACAAAGTAATCAAAAGATATTGCATTTTTAACAATTGGTTTAGAAATCAACTGAAACTATTTGGAAGATTTTCAACAGTATAAAAAATATTGTCTTAAGTTTTTTAGTGTGCAGATGGCAAAGTTTTCATTAGACACACATATCTCTGACAACAAAAATCACATTACAAAAGAAACATTTCCAAGCAATGACTTAAAAAACAGTCTATCTTTAAAAAGCAGATTACTATCTCACTTATTGTTGAAACATCACTTTTACTTTGAAGGGATGGAGTAAGAGTGTTCCATTGGTTGGTTGGTCAGTCGGTCGGTTGGTTTTTAATCTGCTATGAAGCATGTAACGTAGCCACTGGTCATAAGAAAAGATCAGCAAATTTGACATATCATCTCTTCATTTAAAAAATGTTTTTCTTTGTCCATCTTTAAATTCAACAGCTCCTTTACAATCTTTGCTAGGAGATAACTAAAGAAGCTCTCATAATTCAAATGAACTTCCTGGTCACTCCCCACCTCATTATAGAGTACTATAGAAAGTCCATGCTTTACCAGTCAGATTCATATAAAATTAGCAACACTGGTATCATTTTCGAGCACTTGTCACACATCGGACATCCAGATAAAAGTTAAATTTTGTTATTTTTCAGGTTTACTTAGTAGGTTAAAACATTTCAACATTAATAATTTTTAGCTTCAGATAGTTTAGCTCCAAATCCTAGCAGCCAAACCACAAAATTTCAAGTTGTGTTCTTTTCCCAGGTTCAGCTCCAATGTGGTTAGAGAGAGAGAACATGCCAAACCAGAATAGTCTAAGTTATTTGCTTCTTGGAAACTCAGAATGAATACGTTTACACACAGAAGACACCAGTAAAATACAATTAGCTTCAGATAGTGAGAGCCTGCATTTCACCCTGCCTGAGAAATGTAAAAGAACTGAGAGGAAAGAAGACCATCAAATACCAAATGCAAAGTATTAACAATTGGTTTAATAATTGATTTATTCATTGGTTTAAAGAGGAAAGAGAATTATTCCCAAGAAGACTAACTGTACTAAAGTAAAAATGAAGCCTCGTCATTTTAATCTTACCTGAGATTAAACAGTTGAGATGAATGTGAAGTCCAGACCTGTTAGGACCTAAACTCTTAACCATGTTCGTTCTTTCTCCATTCAAGATGGGGGCAGCCTAAAGCCCAATACTTTACAGAAGACAATTTAAGGATTGGCTGGTTCTGATTTGAGAAAAAAAGCATATGGAAACTTCTTTTTTAATGACCACCTCCAAATCCCCAGCATCTGACTATTTGTCTCCATTTGCTCTACAATTTTGTAGAAATGTGATTCGGTCTTCAGACCTAGAGAATTCATTTTAAAAATAACAAACTCTCAGGAGAAACCAAGATGGCAGCATAGGTAAATGCCTAACTGCAGCCTCACCCAACAATTTCAAAAAATACAACTAAAATATAAAGTGGACATTATCCAGAACTACAGGAACGTTGACTGACTGAAAATTCTACAAGAAGGAAAGAGAAAACCAGAAGGAAAATCAGAGGAGCTGTAAAAGCCTAAGGTACGAAGTCACATTGCGTGAGCAGAGAGGATGGAGCCAGAGAAGAGGGGGAGGCTGAGTGCCTGGCTGGCGTTCCCTAGCGGGAAGGAGATAAAAGTTCCTGACTGTGCTGAACCCCAGTTCCGACAGCACTGAACCCCAGTTCTGAGTGAGACCCTGGGGACCCAGACACATACAGAGGGAATCTGGGCTGTAAGGCGGAAGCTCAGAGGAGTGGCAAAAGGCAGAGCCCCCAAGTTGCGCACATTTCGCGCAGAGGACAGACTGTTGATTGAGCCGCTGGATTGCCCTAGCAGGAAAGAGACATAAGCTCCGGACTGCTCTTAACCCCACTTCCAACTGCACTGAACCCCAGTTGTAGACTGTCTGGTAGCGGGAGAAACTCTAGGGCACCTTTCTCTCAGAGGTGCTTGCAGCAAGTACCGAAGGACACTGAGGAACACTGAGACTCAGGAACTTCATAGGGCGGGGCTAACTGGAAGCCAAGGCTGTAGGCTCCACCCTGAAACTCAGCCCCATCCAAACTGAGCACAGAGGCTCTTGCAGTTTTCCAAGTCTAGTCGAATAAGGCTATCTCCTGGCATAGATACAGCTGATCCTCCCACCCTACCAACTCAGGGAAGCAGCGAAAATGCCAAGACAAGGAAACAGATCACAAACTAAAGAAATAAAGGACAAAAAGCGACTGAATATAGAGTTCAAAACCATGCTTATAAGGTTTTTCAAGAATCTCCTAGAAAAGGCCGATAAAATAAACCAGATCTATGAAGATATGAAAAGGGATCAACTAGAAATAATAAAGGATCAACTAGAAATAAAGAATACATTGTCTGAAATAAAAAAAAAATAGTATACAGAGTCCTAAACACAGAATGGAAGATTGAAAAAATCAAGTCAAAGATTGACTTGGAACACAAAGAGCCAGCAGACACTCCTCCGCAGAAGCAAGAAGACAAGAGAATCCAGAAAATTGAAGATAGTGTAAGAAACCTCTGGGACAACTTCAAGCGAACCAACATCAGAATTATGGGCATCCCAGAAGATGACAGAGAGCAAGATACCAAAAAAATATTGAAAGAAATAGTGACAGAAAACTTCCTCCACCTGGTGAAAGAAATAGACTTACAAGTCCAGGAAGCGCACAGAACCCCAAACAAAAGGAATCCAAAGAGGACCACACCAAGACACATCATAATTAAAATGCCAAGAGCAAAGGACAAAGAGAGAATATTAAAAGCAGCAAGAGAAAAGCAGGTAGTTACCCATACGATTGTCAGCTGATTTCTCAACAGAAACCATGCAGGCCAGACGGGAATGGTAAGAAATATTCAAGATGATGAATAAAAAGAACCTACAGCCAAAAATACTCTACCCAGCAAAACTATCACTCAGAATCCAAGGCCAGATAAAGAGCTTCACAAATTAAAAAAAGCTAAAGGAGTTCATCACCACCAAACCAGAATTATATAAATTGCTGAAGGGGGTTCTTTAGGAAGAGGAAGAAAATAAAGATAAAAATTATGAACAACAAATATGTAACTATCAACAAGTGAATCTAAAAACCAAGGGAATTAAAAAACCTGATGAACAATATTAACTGTTGAATATAATAGAATCAGAGGTACAGAATGGGGGTGGACTGACAATTCTCGGGGAAAAGAGGAGTGGGGGGTGCGGGAAGAGATTGAACAAAAACTGTGCACCTATGGATGAGGACAGTGGTGGGTGGGAGAAGGGCAGAGGGTGGGGTGGGAACCTGGTGGAGGGGGGAAAAATGAGGAACTTTTGTAATAATATGAACAATAAAGATTTATTTTTGAAAAATAAATTAATAACTATCTCTAAATCTTAAAACAAACAAAAAGCTCAGAAAGGCCAGGTAGCCTTTACTTTGCCTTGTAAAAGAAACATTGATCTTAAATTACTTTACACCAACATGTGGAAGATTTTATATCTTGGGCTCTCTCTACCAGTCCCTCTTATTTCATATTGACAATTGCTGTTTTTAAAGTAAATGGGAAGGGAGCAAAAAAGAGAAGGCAGGGAAACAAATCCGAAAACAAGGCAAGAGGACATGGAAATGACAAGGGCCCCAAGATTCACATCTAAAAAAAAATGAACAGTATCAACCATTATAATCATTCATTTAACACTCAATTAGCATGTTCCATATGAAAGATTTTACAAAACCTTCATGGAAAAAGATGTCAAATCAGTGAGTAAGTGAAAAATTGGAAACTATAATCCAATCAACCACATATGCTAAACTCCTGCAGATGCCTGTTCAAAACAGTATAGCCAAGGAACCCCAATTAGAAATCTCTCCTAGTGTGCCTGCTGCTGCTACTGTTGTACACAGAGCTGACCTGACCCCTCCTTCAGCTGAAGGAGACGATGAGACCCACCTTGACCGGCCTGCAGACCTATGAGCAAGAAAGGCAAACTCTGCTGTTGCTGTAAGAGTGTAAGCAACCAAAATTGACCAACGAAACAATTATATATTACACTTCACTGTGTATGCATTTCTATTACGTGTCTGGCTTTTGTAGGAATTTGAGTTTACAACCCCTGAGATCCTATAGGCCATACCTCACTCTGCCGAAGAG